CTCATGTTGTGTTTCTGGCATTTTGCCCTAGAGAGGATATTCTTTTTCCTGATACTTACTGACTCTGCTCACACGACTACCCAAATAATGTTGATAATTTTTTTTTTGGAAATCCCCGCCCCCCCACCTTGTTACACTTGTGTTGTTCCTGGTCAAAAATGACTGGCCTACAAAAAATTGCTTATAAACTTCTTGCTATGCCATATTATTACCAAATATTGGATTTAATCCTTTTATCAACTTGTTTTCTTTAAATTAGCACAAGTAGAAACTGGTTGGTTGTCAGCCTTATTGATCTGAGATTATATATCTTAGTTTTTGAGTGAGTATTGCCAGAATTATCTACAAATAATGTTTTTTTTATTCAAAAACTGAGGTGCAAATGCTGATTTCAAAAGCTGAATTCAAGATTTGGTGATAATAGAACATAATGAGAGATTTACAAGACATTTTTAAAAGGTTTTTAATGGGGAACACCAAATTAGGTAAAAGATTTTCAGCACAGCACAAGGGTTAAAGGGATAGTTCACCTAAAAATTTTAATTCTGTCATCATTTACTCACACTCAAGTTGTTCCAAACCTGTTCCAAACTATTTTTTCCATACTATGGAAGTCAGTGGCTACTGTCAACTGTTTGGTTACCAACATTCTTCAAAATATATAAGAATATAAGAATCTCATACAGGTTTAGAACAACTTGAGAGTGAGTAAATTTACATTTACATTTAGTAATTAAGCAGATGCTTTTATCCAAAGCGACTTACAAATGAGGACAATAAAACTTTAATGTTGGTTGAACTATGCCTTTAAGAACAATCTTAAGAAGAAAGATAAGCACATTCCTAAACAGTTCTCAAGTTTTTCTTTCAAGTAAGAAAATAACAGTCAAGAAGAATCTTATTCATAAGAATATTTTGTGAATCTGGTCACAAATGTTCATTTTGCAGGTGCCTTACCCAGATTAGGTAATGTAGGTGCATTACCCAGATTTTTTTTTGTTACTCTTAAGCTAATTGCTGTGATTTTCTTGCTAAGTTGACGGAAAAGATACAGAGGTTTGAAAGCCATGTAATGGATCTCACAATAGAAGCATATTGTATGCATAAGAAGCAAGATGACCAGTTGCTATGCAATAACCAATAAGTGCCAGTAAGAACAGTAGTAGGGAAATGTTTTGCCATGGATACTTTGTAGACAGAAACGGCAGGGGAGGAGGAGGAAATCTGAAGTCGTGGTCTGGGTGTTAAACATCATTAGGAATATTCCGTCACATGACCAGACTCAGCATCTCTCCCTCTCCTGAAGACCAGACTGCAGTAATTCTACAGCTGGGTGTCAGTTCTAGGCTCTCATGGTGCATGTGGGTGGAAAGAAGCAGGATTGGCCACGTGCGTGAGAGAGGCAGCACGCACAGATAATGTGTTTCTGTTCCTTGCTTAGCTACCCAAACAGCAGCGGACTGAGGCAGACGTTTTGTCATTCCAGCTCCTTAGCTGGATAAGGAACGGGAGGGGGGTGAAATGGCAAGCTGCTCTGCTATTGGCCACTTATTGATAAATACTAGCCCCTCCCCTTTTGCAATGATTGGATTTATGCTCTCGGTAGTGTGTGTGACACGTGAATGCCAGCCTGGCTTTAAAGATGATGTATAAAAGGTTACCTTTCTTGTTTGTTTATGTCATTGGTCATCTTTGGATCAGGGATTGTATTTGGAAACCTTTGTAGGAAAGTAGTACATTTAAGGGATTTGGTATGTGCACAAAACAAATGACAGTATAGACATATTTCAGTGAACATGCTGTATTTTTGTTTTGTTTTCTTTTGTGGACAGAGAGAGATGAGTTGGACAAAACTGAAATGAATCAAGGTCTAGGTGTTAAGAGTCATCAGGAATATTCCATCACATGCCCAGAGTGAAAGTCTCTCCCTCTCTCTCTCTCTCAGTCCTGACTGCAGTAGTTCTGTGGCTGGGTGGCAGTGCTAGACTCTCATGGTGCATGTGGGTGGAATTTCATGTGCATGAGTGAAGAGTATTTTTCAGTAAAGATGGTAGAATCACGTTGAAAGTTGCAGAGAAAGGTTTTGTTGTCTTCTTCTGTTATGACTTTGATGTGTGATTTTTATATTCTCTTTGAGCTTTGATGATAATGATTGATTGATGGCATCAACATATTGCTTTTTGTTTTATTTTATTGTGCTTTCATGATTGTTTTGTTTTTTATTTTTTTTGCTTAGGTTTGTTTTTTGTTTGGTTTCAAGCTTTACTTTTTAAAGACATGTTGAATTTGTGAATTGTGAAGTTGATACAATCACATTGTAAAATACAGACGAAAGTTGTGTTGTTTTGCTCTTTTCATGACATCATGCTTTTTTGTAGTATTTTGCTTTTTGTGTTGGGTGTGACTCTTGTTCTTTCATGAAGAAAATAAGTTAATCATGTTGTATATTTTGTAGACAAAAGTTTTGTCTTCTGTTGTGACCTTGATGTATGATTTTTGATGTATGACTTTGTTGATCTTAAAGTCTCTTTGTGGATAATAATTGATTCATGACATCATAACATGTTTTGATTTTTTGTTGTATTTCTTTTATTGTTACTTTTATTGTTACTTTCAAAATAATTAATTTGAATTTGTGAATTGTGGTTACATTTCTAACTTGGATTTCTTTGATCAGGCTTCATGGTTTGAAATCAGGAAAGATGCTGAAGGAGTTTAGAGGCCATACAGCTCATATAAATGACGTCATCTTCTCACACGATGGCCAGCATGTCATCAGCGCGTCAGCAGATGGCACAGTAAAGGTAAGTGTTCATACTGTGGTGAACCACACGTAATAGCCTATGCATCTTTATTTTTGTGGGTTTTCCCTGCTTAACTGTCTTTTTTTTCAGGTCTGGAGCATGAAGACAATGGATTGCACCCACACAATAAAAACCCCTGACATTCCTGAGGGTACAGACATCACTGTTAACAACATTGTGCTTGTCCCAAAGACTCCCGAGCACTTTGTAGTGTGCAATAGGACCAACACGGTTGTTGTTACAAACATTCATGGCCAGGTGAGAACAAAAAAATTAACCAGCAAGATACTCTGCATACTCCTCATGATTATTCTAAAATGCACACACTAGAGTGAACACTACAGTAACTGGTTTTAATATTTGGCATAAATGGCACAAGTTAACACCATTTATGAATCAGAAACCTTGACTAAAGGCTGGATTGTTGAGCAGAAGTTTAAAAAAAGCAGCAAACTTCCAATGCAGGTTGTGAGGTTTGCCAAAAATAGCTACGCACTTATTATTCAGACCGTCTGATGGCGTATAAGGCATACCCTGTTCAGCCGTCTCACCCACTCTTTTCTTGACATACTTTATGACTCTCTCTCGCATGCTTTTTGGTACTCTCTGAAGCGTGCCTTATCCATTTGCATTGCACTTTCGCTCTCACTCTCTTGCCCCCCTCTCTTTTCCTTCCCAGGTGATGAGGAGTTTCTGTTCAGGCGTAAGAGAGGGGGCTGACTTTGTTTGCTGCACGTTGTCTCCACGTGGAGAGTGGATTTATTGTGTGGGAGAAGACTATGTGCTGTACTGCTTCAGCACCATCACTGGCAAGCTAGAGAGAACACTCACGGTACCATTCGCCCTCACAGCACATGCTGCATATCCACGAGATCCGTTTTAGTCGGGTGAAGTGTGATAGGTTTACAGCTAAAGTTGTCTTCTCAGTATTCCAGAACAATTGGTATTTATATTCAAAACATTGGCTGTAACTCTAATTAGGACTAGTTGGAGATATATCAAAACTGAATTGGATATAAAAATGAACTGTGCTTTAATATAAACCAGTGTTTCTGTGTACATCCTCCATAGGTACATGAAAAAGATGTGATCGGCGTAACTCACCACCCCCATCAGAATCTCATCGCCACATACAGCGAGGATGGCCTACTCAAACTCTGGAAGCCTTGAGTCTCGTCTTTCATAATATGGACTTGTGTTCTATGTTCTGGATTTGTGGTATTCCTGCACACACACATATGTCTCTGCCTTTATACGCCTGTTATAACATTGGTCTTCCATTTAAAGCGCTCAAAAACATTCATGTTTCTGTTGAACCTTAGCATCATGCACTGAGATGAAGGACCTCTTCGACATCTGAAATTAACTACATCCAATTTCGTAATACTAACGTTCCTCTAAAGCCTCTAATGGAAAACAAGAAAAACTGCATGGATGCACTGGTCTTTTACTATTATTAAGGGCTTTGTAGTATTGTCTGTGATAATATCTGCATGCAAGATTTAGCCCGGTCAACATTAATGTGGTAAATGTACTGGTTTTCTTTCCAGACTATTCTTTGAATCTTATATGTGAATGTATGCAATTTCTTTGATCATTCTGGCCAAAGACAAATTCGTGTGTACTTGCTCATAATGTGACCTCGCACTAGTCGTGGACTCATTGAGGACATTTTCACATATTTGTACTTGTGTACATTTAGAATTCTGATGTTTAGAATTCATATGGTACAATATTGTGTTGATTATAATGTTTTAGTGTGTTTTAACACTCAACCAAGCACATCTACTTGTACTGCATGCAGGTGAACATATTATGCAGTTACTGCAATACTGTATGAAGTAATCAGTATGGTTTATATTCTGATAATTACAGATTATTTTTTATCGAGGATATTCACAATTTTTGTTGAATATTGGTATAACACTGCTTCACAGTGTAAGTCTCTGAGTATCTTACAGTGTTGGTAAATAATGTGCTGATATTGCTGCAGTTTAATTAAAATTCAAGCATGAATAATTCATTACAATCTTTTCAAGAAGATTTGTCATTAAGATGCATCTTTAACTGGTTAGATGTCGGATTGCTTGATATTTGCAGTAGATCTCCAATAAATCTGTAGACATCTTGATATTGGCATAATTAGCCAAATATTCAATCCCCCAGACCCCAAAAATACAAAACTGACTAAACAAATAACATTGTGACATTTATTTTATAAATAGAACTACAAATGGCAATTATTGGTCATAATTAGAATTTTTCAATTAAACTTCAGTCAACACAGATAATCAAATAATCAAATATAAGACTATCTGCTAGCAAAAATGAAAATAATAATAACAAATGGGATAAAAGTGCATTTGCAATATCCAAAAAAATGTGTCTTCCAAATTTAGGCAGAGTTAACATTTAATTAATTTGCAAAAAATGTTAAATTTTCTTTCAAGATGCTCTTAAGACTGATTTTATGCAGAGGTATGTAGACGGCTCATTCAATTAATGATTTTTTTTTGTTATTTAGATAAAACTAATTCCTTCAAAAAAGGATTTAATATCTTCTTCGATCCTTAAATAGCAAACAAACACAATGCGATTTAGTTTTGATAAAATCCTTGGCTATTATTTCTTAGTTACATGAAAACAGTAACATGAAAAGTTACCAGGTACTAGACTCTAAATAATATCAGCCAATTAAGAAGTTAACTAATATCGCTTTCTACAAAATAAGGCTTTTAAGAGATGGATCACAGTTCATTTTGAACACAAGTTTTTCTTTGTTGAAATGTATTTTCAACTTCGTTATTAACCCTCTTATTAGTTCAAAATGTTCTAGAAAAAACATTTAGCAATAAACTGGCACATACCAAATTTCCAACAACATCAAGATCAAACAGTCTTACATGAAACCCACAATTAACTGCCAATAAACAAAACACCACAAAGATTGTAATGTTTTCTCAAACTGATGAAGAAAAATCCTTTTTCCAAGTAAATACATGTTCGTGATTAAATTTTCTGGGATTATGGCACAACCAACTTGACCTGAATATCCCTTCCATTTCCACTGTAACTGCTACACAAATTTCCATAGACTCTCCCTTCAGCTGAACCTCTATGGCACCAGTGTCCCAACTCATTTGACTTTTTATTTCACAAATTATCTGCTCAAAACTTTGGACGAGAAGTTACTTCCAAACAATGACACAAGAGGTCGGCACTAAGAGGTCTTATTCTAGGCACAGAACTATTTGAGAGGTAAAATTTTCCCTCTTGGTCCTTTTTCCTTGTGTTCCAGCAGAGGTGGCATTTGTTGTGGAAGGGAGGGTAAGGGAACAGGAATCTCTACGAGGTTTGGCACTGCACACCTCCAGACGGGTAAAAGTCTTCCTCCTCTATATAATGGTAATGCTGGCGTTCATGGGTCAGATCACAGTCTTCAAGGTCAGCGTATATATAGAGGTCATCATCCATGCTGTCAGGCTCAATATTTGCCTGTTTTTCAGGTAAGTACCCTTCTAACTCCTTGAGTTTGTTTAATGGAAGGAAGTTCTCTTCAGGGAAGACAACCTTAAGAAGAAAATTAGCACAATTCGTTTATGTAATTTATTATTGTGAGAAGAGCAAGAAAATGTAGCTTAAGTATTTATGTATTTGCTCTGAAATGTACTTTTTATTAAGTTTTCATTTTTGTTTATTTAGCTTTAGTTATTTCAGTTCTTCAACCTTAAACTAAAAGAAAATGAAAAGTTGAAAATTGTAGCTGAAATGCGTTTTTTTTGTTCTCTCCTAGGTAAAGTCCCCCTGCAGTCACTAATGTTATCCTTAAAACTTGTCTTTCATAATCAAAATCATAATCATCATTTTAAGTTTTTTTCCCCGTGAAAATAATATCTTCATGGCTTCAATGTAACTCTAACATGCGAATGTGTTGTTAAATTATTGAAATATTATTATTATTAAATATTGAACAAATTTTTCAAGAAAATATTTAATGTCAAAGTGGTTGTGGCTGCCAAAATTTTTTGGGAATCCATTTAAAAGAACAATAAGTGAGAATCAATAAATTATGAATGATTTACTGGCATTGTGTGAATATGTAATCCATAAAAAGGAACTGTAGTCTGATTATGAGCATTATAAAGTGTAACATACTCTTAATTGCGAGTACTTTTTGGAATATGATTATGTAATCCAGATTACATGTAATCAGATCCTACCCAGCTCTCTGTGTGTGTGTGTGTGTGTGTGTGTGTGTGTGTGTGTGTGTTTATATATATATATATATATATATATATATATATACATACACACTCACTTGCATTTGTGGTTTATGGGGACTCTCCATAGGCGTAATGGTTTTTATACTGTACAAACTGTATTTTCAGTCGCCCTACACCAACCCTACACCTAAACCTACCCCTTACACAAAACTACTGCCAATTTTTGAATTTCATAAAACACCGTTTTGTATGTTTTTTAAGCCTTTTGTTTTACGGGGACACAGGAAGTGTCCTCATAAACCATGTTTACGTTGTAGTAAACATGTCATTATACACATTTGTGTCCTCATAAACCATATATACAAGTACACACACACTCATGCTCATGAATATGCGTTTTACACTTAATTTCCATAACTTCTGGCAATCCAGAAAGGTCCACATTTTGATAAAAGCCGTGTTAACGTTAGTTATGACTAAAGCACCTCCTGTTACTGTTTCAAAATAGTTTGACGATAAGCAGGAAATGTTCATGGGTCAGTGACATCACCGCATTGAAAAGGTCTATTCAATAATTAGTACTCACGCTGAAAAGGATGATGAGTTTGCCTTTCTCAAATGGCCGACGGTGCAAAGGCATTCCCTCATTCAGAACACATTTCTTATCTCCAGGTCTGATCAACTCCCCTAGTAATGCAACAAAGACAGACAATGCATTTGCTTTACACATCAACAGTTTATATAAGAGCAATATCAGTTCTGCTATTATTAAGATTAATTTAACAACTAGCCAAGCTTATAATTTGTAGTTTTTACTCTAAATGGATCAGGAGTAAATTAAGATATCAGAACCAGTTACACCGAATCCAGGTAGACCAACATAAGCACAGCCTACAAGAAGTGATATTCCACACATGCCTGGATGTCTGGTGATATACAAGGTCAATAAAGCACTATGGATTAGGAACTCTGGAAAAGGCAATAGCAACAATGACCATAAGGTGTGCCATCTGCCAAGGTTACATAATATCACTCCTGCCATTTTCTCTCAGCCAGATCATCATTAAGAGTGGATATGCATCCAGGTTCAAGACAGAAACTTCCATCAGGCTGTACACAATGACTTGCTTATCCACCAGCACTGATGGTGCTGATGTTATAGAAACCTGCATGCAGTGCTCGAATATGTATGTAGGATGGTTCACCTGGATGGGATGTGATGAGTAGAGTTCTGTTGTCCAGTGTATTAATAGGTTTTTGAAAACCACATAATGACTCCACCAACTGTAGCTCCATGTTCATGATGAGATCCTCTCCTTGTCTGAGAGGAGAAATGGTATGTTAACCCTTATGTTTCTTACATAATATCCATATATTCTATATGTTCTCTTCCCTAATTGCCTTGTCCAAATGACCAAGTACTGTAACAGGCTGCCCCATATACAGAAAACAGAGGAAGTGTGACACTAATCCTGAAATAAATGAATCTGTGCTGCCATCTCCAGGACATTATCATCAATGACATACCTCTGAAAATAACAGCCCTGCATATTAAAACAAAGCCTAATATGACTTAATATGATGATCCTGACTTAAAAAAACTTTTTTTTTTTTGTTCATAATATGCACTTAATAACAAAATGAAAGCGGTCAAATGTGAAGTTTAAAAATAAGTATAATTTAACTTACAACAATCTGTAAAGTAGTTGAAAACTTAGTTTAAAACACTAAATTTAATGTTGGTACATAACAAAAGTTATGTACATAATAAAGAGCTTTATATAAACACAGGTTTTTTACATAAATAATGTTTTTTCCCCCCCATTTCAAAAAACAATTTTCTGTCACTCCTTAGTAAAACACCGACAGACATGAACTTTCTGTCACTGGACACGATTCTAACCTTGAACTCTGGATTACGCATAAAATATTATCTTCAGAAACAATTATACATGTGAGAATCAGCTGAGAATTGATCCAATTGTTATAACCTGGCTCAGAGAAAGATAGGACACATGTTATCAACATGGCAGTTTTCCTGGTGGTTGACACTTATACTTAATACTTCTTCACCTTACAAATGATTTTTGAAAGCAAAAATGCTACGAAATGCAGAAAATATGATGTGCTAGGCACTATTTTTAGAATCAGCACCCCAAAATTAGAAGCAAGCAAGCATTGGATTTCATTTAGCAAATATGATGCAGGACAGTGTAATCAGCACTAACTTCAAACTTCAGTGTTACCAGCATTACTTAAAGACTTAGATATTATCATCTAGTCATTTTAATTTAGCTCAACTTCTTACTGATGTCTACAGAGTGGTTTTACCTGGTGAAAACTGGGTGCGCTCTCTGATCTAAGACAATGATGATGTCTCCAGGTTCAAGGCCAGGCTCCTGGTCACCCTCCCCATGGAACACTATTTTCTGTCCATCTTTCATACCTGCAAGAATACATAATCAAGCATAAACAAAAGTAACAAGCTGCAGAGAACAGATGTTTTGGACTGAACCGTGCTTTTCCAGTCACTTTCTAACCTTTATCAATGTGCACCTCAAGAATCTTCTTCTGCCGTAGTATCTTGCGACCAGCGCATGTTTTGCAGCGGTCACGGTGACCCAGTTGCTGACCTTGCCCCTGACAGCCAGCACAGACTGTTGATATCTGCTGCACCATGCCAGGTGCCAAGTGATGTAGTCTGACCTGGACACCCACCCCATGACACAAAGGACACACTTCCATCACTCCTTTACGGCCCCCACGACCTGAAGTAAAAAAAACAAACAAAAAAAACAGTAAAAAAAAAAACTTTTAAAATCCTACCAGAAAAATCAAAACAGTATATTAGTAATACAATGCTTATAAATACATTACCATTTAAAAATTTGGGATACTTTCTAGAGAAAAAAATTATACTTTTATTCAGCAAGGATGCATTAAAGGGGTCATATGATGCGATTTCAAGTTTTCCTTTCTCTTTGGAGTGTTACAAGCTGATTGTGCATAGATAAGATCCCTGAAGTTGCAAAGACTAAAGTCTCAAAACCAAAGAGATATTCTTTATAAAAGTTAAGACTCTGCCACGCCCCCCTAAAACTTTGCTATGACAATCTGGGCTTCTGAATCAGCTACTGTTTTGTTATTAGTTTAAGTATTTGCTATTGACTGTTCAAATGCAGAGTTTTGCGCATCATGTGTGTGTGTGTGTGTGTGTGCGTGCGTGTGTGTGAGAGAGAGAGCGAGAGAGACCAGCTTCATCACTGTCTGTCACACGACTCTGTTCCCCTTTCGGGCTCTGTCTTTACATTTATGTTGAAAGATGAAGCTCGCGATTATGGTAAGGGGCGTTACATTTCCGACAAGTGCTTGCGGTGTTCGGCCAATCACAATGCACTGGGTCAGCTGGCCAATCAGAGCAGACTGCGCTTGTCGGACGGAGGGACTTTGTAGAAAACTAAGCGTTTGAGAGAGGCGGGGCATAGAGGACCTACAATAATGTACAGTATTTGAAAAATAATGTGTTTTTTGAACATTAAAGCATGTCAGCATATTCTGTTACACCAAATACACAAAATAATGATCTTTAAAAAGCATCATATGACCCCTTTAAATTTACCAACAGTGATTGTAAATGCTTTCTATTCATCAAAGAATCACAAAAATATATAATTTTTTTTTTACAAAAATATTAAGTAAAAACTGAAGTAACAGCTGCTAAAAATTCAGCGTTGCCATCACGGGAATAAGTTAAATTTTAAAATATATTGAAATAGGAAAGAGTTATTTTAAAGTGTAATAATATTTCACAATATTACTGTTTTTAAGGCAAATGAATGAAGCCTAGGTGAGCATAAGAGACTTTTCAAAGAAAAAAAAAATCTTACCAATCCCAAATTCTTGAATGGTAGTGTCAAATATATAGTAATATAATAAAGTTCAGAAAAGGACCCCTTATACAAATATATAAATTTCAGTCAATTATTACCTTCACACTTGTCACAGATTACATTCTTCTGGACAGCAAGTTTCCTGGTGGCTCCAATATAAAGCTCATCCAAAGATACAGTCAACTGATGCACCATGTTCTTTCCTGTAGAGCAACCACAAAATTTCACTGTAAGATTTGTAATCATTCATGAATTATTTAAAGTGGAATGCATGTATGTTAGCCTAATAGAACCTTTGATCTCCTCAAAAAGTGTAAACAAATGTAGAAATGGGAATAACTTATATGTTTTACCAAACAAAAACATTCTAGTTTAGGTTACTAAACATGTTAACTGAAAAAGGTCTGATTCCTTTGTTCTTTGGAACATTCACAAATCTTCCAGCAACAACATGGGTTATCAGGTCTTGCACAAGTTGTGCAGTCTGTAGCTAAGAAAGAAATGTACTCACCTCTCCTCTCCCTGTGCATGCGTCCCCCTCCTCCAAAGAACATGTCAAAAATGTCCATGGCGGAGCCAAAACTTGGCCCTCCATTTCCTCCCTCCTTAATTGCCTTCTCACCCCCTCTGTCATACACTTCTCTCTTCTTGGTATCTGACAAAACTTCGTATGCTTGGGAGATCTGTTTGAACTGGAAATACAGAATAGTGAAAGGGACATAATATCTAAACTCAAGGTCCACACTTTGAGACCAACCAGATGATCTCTAAACTTCTATATATATTTCCAAATGACAGAACCACTCAAATATAAGGGAACTATTAGGGAATTTATACTTAATACTAGACATTGATAATGTATAAAATTGTGACAGTCTTACCCTTTCCCCCTCTGTTGGATTTTTATCTGGGTGATATTTCAATGCCAGTTTACGATAAGCCTTCTTCAGCTCTTCAGGGCTGGCGTTAGGCTTTACACCCAGCATATCATAAAAACCAGTCTCTTTCACCATAGTTGCCCCCCAACAGGTTAATCTAGTCAAAAGAAACATTAAAAAAAATACACTGAAAAACCTGACACTTACTCTGAAGCTTGCCCATATTTAACGTACAGTCTCATGATATAATAGCACTGGTTAGTAGAAATCAATTACAATTACATTAAACTCACCATAAAATTGACACAGATTTAATTCGACCAACCGTTTTAAAACAAGTGATTTAGTCCTTATTAACAAATTTTGTGTTAATGGATTTCAAAATCACGCGTAATTAAATATCAAGCTATAACGTTACGGTGTCTGTTACTAAAAGGCAGCATTTTAGATAAAAACAAGCCAAAAAACAAAGACAACAATCACGTGATCCACGCCATAGCATTGTATTTTAATAAATCGTCAAGTACCCTGAAATATGGTGAAATCCCTTCTCGTCTTATGACTCGGTGTACCAAACAGACTTCCAGAATCTTCCAGCAGCGCTCTACATCTTCTTCTTGTGGAGCGTTATTGAACTTTGATTGCAGTGCGACCTATTTCTGCCACCTACTGTACGTAGTGACGTATGACAGGCAATGACGAGCAGCTGTTTAATTAACGTGTTTCCGTCGACAGCAGCTAATTTTATCAGCATTTCAATAACTCTCACTGGGCGACCATTCTCTTTCATCTGTATTATTTATATAAATCACTAAGCCTTAGTTCACAAATTAAGTTTCATAATCACTTATGATAAACAAATTTAAAATTTACTTTCCTAAGTGTTGCGTGTTTCTTGAATTCATTAGTTCAAGAATCACATTAATTCATGAAACGCAGCTACCACACTCAAATCATTGCAAAATGACCATCCGCCCGAACAGGGACTTGAACCCTGGACCCTCAGATTAAAAGTCTGATGCTCTACCGACTGAGCTATCCGGGCTTCGACAACACAGTATGTTATAGCGACATCTATTTCCTGACTATTTAGTTGCACCACACTCGATAGGTGTTTGAGGAAATGGCCAAGTAACATCGATTAACGCTTACAAATCTATAATGTCCGCATTCTTTCATGTCTTTAAAACGTACCAATATGGAACGTTCCTAACGAGGGCGCGAAAAATCGAAGGTTTCATGTCTGAATAACTGGTTTTCAAAAGACTGTTTTACAATGTGATAGTTTATATTTTAGAGTATAAATTCCAAGACTATTCACCCAGATGTTTCCAGCTGGCTCTATAGCTCAGGGGTTAGAGCACTGGTCTTGTAAACCAGGGGTCGCGAGTTCAAATCTCGCTGGGGCCTCAAATACGTTTTGTATAGTCGAGTCTACTTAGAGACTATGAAATATAAACGGCATTCGTGGCAGTTACGAATTAAATTTACACCAATTTCATATTAATCAATTTGGTATTGTTATTTGTATCAAGGATATCCTACCGCCAATGCTTCTGGAATCTTTCATATCAGAGAAGGTCTGTATCCTACATCACTGCACTGTTATGTATTTGTAAATGATAATTTTAGGAGTTCAACAGGATCCTTTGCCGACTATTTTCAGTAGCGACAATTCCTGGTGAGGTTCTCTATATAAACGACAGATGGCGCAACGACGTAAATGTCGGAGATATATCCAGCTGCAGACCCGCAGCACCAGCAGTTTCAGAACCGGAAGTGAGGGGCGGAGCTTACATTTTTTAAAAGAGTAGCGCCACCTTACGGTTTTTAAGGGGTCATTTGCTTTTATTACACACGATACGTCATACTCTATGTATGCATTTTATAATGACATATTAAGCATGTTATAAACATTATATACATCTTGTGTAATTTAGTTGTAGACCTATACAGTTATTAGTTGCTGAAACTGCTGGTGCTGCGGGTCTGCAGCTGGATACTATTGTGGAAATGTCGACCTTCAAGAAGTCTTGAACCAAAGATCATTGTCAGAGCATAAGCTTATTAAATCCATTACCTGACATAGCTACATCTCTATCACGTGTGAACTGAATATTTCCCTCCTGTGTTTGAAAATGTGAACGTGTTCTCAACAACTAGATTCCAATCATTGTATTACATTGTAATAGCCTATTATCGTATGTAATACATTGTTTCATAGCACTTTTTTTGTTTAGAGGACTTCCCGTTTTTATTCTCAGGTTTTAAAACATTAACTGGGTAACAAAATACTCTACTTGTGTTTATAATAACAAAAATAGATACAAAACATATTTACCAGCAGAAGTGTCACTAATTTAACATGACTCTGGCCTGGCTTAACAAGCCATGCTTTAATTACTTTTAGTCTCGTGAGTCGTGTATAAAACGTTTTGTATAAAAATGCATGTTTTGGTGATGTTCTGTGTCTTATGTTTTATCATATTTAGTGATACATAGAATTCAACAGTTTACAACTTAAAACGGCAAAAAAATAGGTCAGTTTTTCATTTATGCAGTTACTAGATAATATCTATGAATTATTGCTTTTTTTCGTTCTGTTGCAACACAAATCCATCATATTACTTGCTCACCTGCAAACTACATGAAAAAACATGACCAACCAAACAGGTTTCGGCATCTGTGGTGCGTTAAAAGGTTAGCAACGTCTGATTTGTGAACGAATCGTTCCTTGTTCACGAATCAAACTGAATCGGTCCGAGCGGTTCTCAAACCAACTCACCGATTTATTGGATCGAGAACCGTGGCTGCACGCAGCTTTCATACTTTATAACAAATTTGGAATACGATTAAGAACAATAATGGCAGCATGCTATTATTCCGAAATCAGCCCATTACTTTCATATTCGCATATTTAAATCACGCTGTGACGAAGTAACCAGCATACTACTGTTACTATTTATCAAGCGGTTCTTTCAAACGAACTGTTCGAAAGAACCGATTCGCGGAAATGAATCGGACTTTCCAACACGAGTTGGGCATTTTTTTTACTCACACTGGTGTGTAACGCTGGGGAGGTATTATTGGGTGTCACTTCGCTGCACACAAAACCACGAGGGGTTCACCAGAGATCGTTTACTCGAACTCTACACGATTTTCGATAAACCGCACCTCGTTGCGCAAGGAAGTATTAAGAAGGAGAAGAAGCACAAACCGAGGAACAGTCAACGCCGAATGTGTAGAATAAGGAAGAAGAATATTGGTCCGTTGACTCTTTGTTGACACTCGTAAGGAGTTGTTGGGATCTCTCAAGCCCAGCCATGGAAGAAGTGATACGGAGATTTCTTTCCTGATGCTGCGATCTCACGCGTAAGCGTTCCCTACAAAAATGTGAGTAACGTTACACCTGCGATTTTATATGTAGGAAATCACAATATGCCAGCTCAAAACACATAACGTTACTCGTGTGTTTATCGATGTTATACAGACAAGCCAGTACAACATTACAGTGCTTAACATGAGAAAATCTGTGCTCACGCGTTCACAAAACGGAAAGTGATGCGTAACTAGTTTTTCTATTGTACTTGTAGGGACACGAAGTTGCTGGCCTCCGCCGTGGTCGTCTGGGAATGGCTGAACGAGCACGGGCGCTGGCGGCCGTACAGCCCAGCCGTGTCTCACCACATAGAGGCGGTGATAAGAAGCGATCTCCGCGGCGGCAGCGTCGTTTTAGGCCGAGCTGACAGCCGCCTGTCGCCCTACATCATCGATCTACACTCCATGCATCAGTTCAGACAAGATACCGGTAAGATGAAGATCAGCGGCGCAGCACTCTACCTGTGGCAAGCCACTTTTACATTCATTCTTTATAACGATCTAATTGAAAATTCTGTTATGTTATTATTTGTGATCCTGGACCTAAAAAAAAAAAACCTGTCTTAAAGGGGTCATATGATGCGATTTCATTTTTTCCTTTCTCTTTGGAGTGTTACAAGCTTGGTGCATAAAGAAGATATTTACATTTGCAAAGACTAAAGTCTCAAATCCAAAGAGATATTCTTTATAAAATTAAGAGTCAGCCACACCTACCTAAAACAGCTCGTTCTAACACGCCCCCACATATCTACCTCACTATTAAGCCGGGGCTTTCGCTCACGTTAGGCCGCTGTGTTTTTCGTTGTGAAAGCAAAACTACTTTGTTTGGTCTTCCAAAAGAGGATGATATCCGCTTCGTCATGCCTAGAGCTGATCTGTGCTGGTCGCTGAGGGAATACATCAACTTAGTGCTGTGGATCGCCGGCACATTTTATGGAGGACTGTTTACTGATCCTGGGAGAGTAACGTTAGACTAAAATGCCGGCAGTTCTGACTCACAGTCTGTAAGTACACAGCTTTCTCTTTCCGTAATCCCTCCCTGTCTTGCTTTTTCTAATCTGAACAATGTCTGAAACTTTGCATTACAAACACTTCCTGTGTTTATTTGCCTCTTTATGATGAATCGTTGTTTGTATTGTGCTTAGCAACGGCAGACGCCATGAAAGCACGTATTTCAGCGCAAAGTCTGTCTACACTGAACGCTACAAAGCGACCGTTGCCAATCATTTGAACTTTGTGTCAGTACGTCATAAAGAGAACGCGGCATCAGTTTACTGTCGGGGATTTGTCGTGCCGCACCACATCCAGTGTAGACAGCATCACTTATTATAATGGGTTCATTGTATTTTGTCGCGCGCATCCGGTGTAGACATGGTGAGAGCCACGCAGATGCACATGAACACTAATTTCTGTTCACGTCTGCGTCTATTTGTGCCTGAAATACTGTGCTCTGCAAGTATCCTTGTAAACGCAGTTGCTTATGGCTTAGCTAAAGGGAAACAATTGAGAAAGAAAATGGATGTGTAACAGTATATTGGTTTACAGCAGTTTAATGTTCCTGAGGATTTCTGTGTTATGAATGTTAATCAAACAACAAAACACAAAGAAAAATCACTTTTGTAGCTTTAACACAGATTTATTAGATTTAGTTTATACAGTGAAGAAGACTATGCAGTGTTATTTTACATTTGATTATTCAATTTCTGTACCTAAATACTGTTAGACTTACCTGAAAAATATTTCTATGCTTGTAATTTGTTTATTTCCTATGCTGATTTACTCGCCTACAAAATCACCCCAATCATTGATTATTTTTTTTTCCCAAATAAACTATTCAAGTCATGTGGTGATTTTTTTTTTTCATATCGCAATATATATCGCAGAAAAATAAAATATCGCAATGTGATTTTCTTCCAATATCGTGCAACCCTAAACCTAACCAAGCTGTAAATATGAAAGCCTGTCTCTTCCACAAAAGAAAGTAAAAGAAGGTAACTGCTACTTTTTATTTTACAATTTGGACTTTGTTTCTCGCTGTTGTGAGTTTTTTTTTTTTTTTTCTCAATCGCAATTGCGAGTTTATAACACAATTCAGACTTTTCTTCTCAGAATTGCGAGTTAACATCCTGACTTTTTTCATGCAATTCTGAGTTAGAGGAAAAAGGTCAGACTTGTGAGATGTAACATCAGAATTGCAAGAAAGAAGAAGTCCGAATTGTGAGATAGTCACATTTTTTTTATCCCGTGGTGGAAACAAGCTTCCATACATAAATGCTAGAATCTCATGAATACAATTGGAATAGAATCCAGCAACAATTGGAATACATTGTACATTTGAATCAAGTGGTAAAGATTTACTCTTTTGGAGCTATGACTAGTAGCAAAGGAATCAGTGCTAGTATCTCTTGGTGAAACTAAAGAAAAGACTAGTCATTGAGTAATTAAAAATACAAGTATTAGTAACAGATAACTGTTCGTTTTATGGAATAATTGTTAAAACGTCTTGAGAGTTAAGTGTCTAATCAGTTTGTTGAAAACATAGCCCCGCAACTGATAAAAAGTGAGTGACGAACATATCATTTATGATTTATAACTTAAAAGCACATCTAAGCTCTGTAGTAAACATACTCTTGCAGTCTGCATTCAGCAGTTTTGATGTGTTGTTTTCGCACCTTCACTTCATGTACTTATGCACTTATTTGAGTTTTGAAGTGTGACATTGAATAATGTCCACTGTCTGTCTAGGCAGCTGTTGTTTTAGAAGGATATACAATGGCAGATATATATAAGCCACACATTGCATAGCAAAATATGAGACCAAGTTAAATTTTTTGCCATAAACAGGCAATATATGTTAAACAATATAATATTAAAAGTAGATATATGTATGACTGGACAACACAAATCGAAGGAGTGTGAAAATATAGGTGCAGAAAAAAGGCACGCATGTCATGCTCTAGTAAACACAGCTTGTTACAGAACTCCACCCATTTTTTCAGATTTTAGTCAGACTAAACCTCTATTTCTTTAGTTTTATATGTAAAGTGTTTAAAGTCCTGTATGTTTGCAGACCCTGATTAAAGTGACTCACAGCAAATTCTTGGGCCAAAACTGCCTATTTATCCCTGTGGATAAAGTGCATTGGTGGTAATCAAGTGCACAAGGACACTCATAACCACACAGGCCTAATGTGAATAATGGTTTACAGATACACACACCCAGGCAGCTCCCCAATTTTTTTTGCTAACACCCAAATTGTTTTGAAATGCAGGCTTTTCTCAGGTAATGTTTTGCCACCAAACTAAGATGAGGTTAGTGACATTTGCAACCTTAATCGCTCTGTCAAGACTTGCCCTAAAAACCTGCAAAGTAACTTGCTCAGACACACGTACACAGAGAGTGAAGTTCCTTAAAGGACTACCCAGGGAAATGAGAACACTTCCATGGGAAAGAACGAAACTATAAAGATTGATTGAGGGGGGAAGAAAAGGGGAGTGGTTGTTATTGTGCAACAGGCTAGTGTGTAGTTTCATCAAATCTGGGCCCCTGGGGTGCCGTCAGTTACTCTGTTTTCCATTGCAGTCTGGAGATTAGTATAACACACACACTCACACCCACATAGGGCAGGATTGTGTTTCTCCTCATCCAGTGACTCTCACATGGTTGGGCTGAAATAATTTCTTTCAGGCTGACCATTCTGTGAATCATGTCTGTTGGTGTCACTGCCTCCCATGAACACACATGCACTACCAGTCAAATAATAATAAAGATTTTTTAAATGTTTTTTAAAGAAGTGTCTCATGCTCACCAAGACTGCATTTTTTTGGTTAGTAAAAACAGCAATATTGTAAAATATTATTACAATTTAAAACAGCAAAATAATATATTATAAAAAATATATAATATTGTAAAATAAAATGTAATTTATTTCTGTGCTGACAAAAATAAATTTTCAGCAGCCATTACTTGAGTATTCAGTGTCATTAGTATCAGTAATTATTGGTGCTCAATTAAAAAAGTTCAAAAAAGTTTTTTTTTTTAAATACAGATAAACTGATACCTTTAGTTTTTTTTCCCCGTTTAAAAGAACAGCATTTATTTTAAATAGAAATCTTTTATAACATTAGAAATAGCTTTACTGTTATTTTTAAACAATTTAACGCATCCTTGCTGAATAAATGTTTTTTTTAAATTCTACCCCAAAGTTTTGAATGACGGTTTATGAAGGTTTCCACAAAAAAAAAAAAAAAAATTAAGTAGCAAAACCTGTTTTCAACAAACAGTAAGAAATGTTTATTAAACACTAAATCAGCATATTAGAATGATTTCTGAAGGATCATGTGACACTGAAGACTGGAGTAATGATGCTACAAATTCAGCTTTTCATCACAGTAATAAATTACATTTTAAAAACTATAAAATAGAAAGCAGTTGTTTTGTTTTAAATTGTCATAATATTTCACAATATTACAGGTTTTTTTAATAAACTAAATGCAGCCTTTGTTTCAATTTTCAAAACGTTTAAAAAAAAAATCTGAATTATTTCAAACTTTTGAATGGTAGTATAATAAAAAAAAAAGCTTTCTCTTTCCGTAATCCCTCCCTGTCTTGCTTTTTCTAATCTGAACAATGTCTGAAACTTTGCATTACAAACACTTCCTGTGTTTATTTGCCTCTTTATGATGAATCGTTGTTGTATTTCCTCAATTGTAAGTCGCTTTGGATAAAAGCGTCTGCTAAATGATTAAATGTAAATGCAGTATAGTTGTTGAGTTTGCTTTCTGCTTGTGTTGCTTGAGCTGCAAGCTACAGTTTATCATTTTCAGTGCTGAAAACCATTTTAGTTTATGGCCTCTTTTTCTTCTCTTTATCTACAACTCTAACTCTCTTTTTCCATTGGATTCATGCTATAAGGATCCTTTGTGTGCCTCAGTTTTACTTAAGCCCAATGGGTTATGGGACACCCCCTGTGGTGCGCGGTGACACCGATTCTATCTGGGGGCCTCCTCAAGGCATTATGAATGTAGTAGAGGAGAAATTTTTACACACTAAATGTGTTCACACCAAAATCACAGTCACAGTTAACAATGTGACCCATTCTAGAAAATTGTTTAATAATTGCATGTACCACGACGAAAACATGATGCTGATCGACATGAGTCTCTCTAAAGGAGGCTTTTCCAGTCTAACAGCTTTGCTGTGATACAAAGGAAAGTTTTTTAAGTATCAAGCTTCATTTTCAAATAGCTGCCTTCTCATTTGTCACAGTCATATACAGTATTTGATGATTGGTTAATATTTTTAGATTTCCACTGACCTTTTGTAGCCATCCAGATTTACACTTTATAAATGACAGAAGTCTAGAAACATGAACAGAAAATATTTTATAATAGAAAACAATACATAAAGGAAGAAATGTTAACCCCCATCCATCAGTGATCGTATTTAATCACTATAGTATACTCAACTAGATAAAACATATATCAGAGGTTTTAAAAGAATAATTTTGCATTTATAATTCATTGCATTTATTGTATCTGATAAATTATTATCTTTTTTTTTTTTTAAAAAGAGAGGGGAATAAAGTTGTTACTTTTGAAGACGGGAGGGAAATAAAAGTGGGGACCATGATGGAGGCACTCAGCCAACAACAATGGAAACAGATGGACAGTCCCTGTACACCTGCTGTAGGGCTTTGTGCTGCTGAAAAGGTCCTGGGATCCTTAACCCAATGTCACAGTTTATGATCCGCTGTAGCACAGCCTTCTACTCCCACTTGCATACTAGCACAAGCTTGCACACTTTAAGTGCAGGCAGTATGATTGGCATGTGAAAGTGGACATGGCCATCTGTTGCTGTACTGCAGTGTTGAGAGGAGGCAGGCACAGGACAGACTCTATTGAACGGAGACATGTAGTAATATTAAATAGCATGATTTCAATTCGTCACGATCAATACTGATGGAATCATTTATTTTACTTACTGATGTATGTGATGAGAGAGGGTTTTTTGTGATATCAGACTGCAGGAAATATTGAATTTTAAAGCCTTGTTGAGAGCCTTATGGGAGTGTCATGCCGTGTTGCTTACAGTGAGGGTTGAAAAACTAAAATTACATTAATTGGTAGAATAATCGGATTAATTCACAAAATGTGTCACATTTCATCAAGTCATTTTTGAAATCAAGTTTAATGCAAAAGCACATAATAAAAAATTTTTTTTCAAGAAATTTAAATGATTATTTAGCTAAATTGCATTAAATTGATCTTAAGTGACTTTAATTACATTTTATAATGTTATGAAAGATTTCTATTTCAAATAAATGCAGTTGTTTTGAACTTTCTATTAATCATCGAATCCTGGCTTCCACAAAAATATTAAACAACAACTGTTGTTTGATTATTGATTAGGTAACACTTTATTTTGAGAGTCTACTTTAGACATTTTATTAACTCTGTTAATTAACTTAATTAGAATGATTTCTGAAGGATCATGTGACACTGAAGACTGGAGTAATGATGCTAAAAAACTCAGCCTTACCATTACAGGAATAAATGACATTATACATTTTTAATTTTTAATATAATTTAAGTTGTAATAATATTTCACAAAATTCGTTTTTTTAAAGCATTATTAAATTAAAAGCAGTCTTCTTTAAAAAAAAAAAAAACATTACAAAATTTTGCTGACCCCAAAGATTTGAATGGTAGTGTGTATTCATCAAGCTTATTTTATTCTCTGGTCCCAGAACACTTTTTCTAAAAGCAGCCACTGAGATACATAATTTGAGTGTCCCAGCCTTAAGGCATATGTGCCGCTCACATGCAGTTAAATACCACATGAACCCATAATACATGTGTTTATCATTAGCTTGACTGTAATTCAGTGAAATGACTTCTCATAAACAGCAACAGAAAAAAGCATGGCATTCATCTGTAATACCAAAAGACATTGTTTCATTCAGGTACAATAGAGCTGAAAGGGAATGACTGTGATTGAGGCACACAGCTGGTAAAGTGAGTTCAGACACAATGAAGGATGATCGAAGCATATTGATGTCTTGCTTTACTCCACCTAATTTCTGGAATGTGCTTTTTATAATTTGGCTGAAGTTACATTAGATCTGCAAAATCATGCAACGTGTAAAACTGACATAATCAGATTTTTAAAAATGTAGTATGTGTACTTAATTAGTGTTTTGTACTAGTAGGTGTATCTGGTTGTTAAAAAGAGAACATGTTCTTTTACTGGTTTTATTGCTTCTAAAACTCAGTATATTCCCAGTTCTCCTCTTGTGATAAGTTCATGCCTCAGTGGGTCTTTTGTGTTCAGCGGCTCTTTGCTTTATGCTCAAATCTATTTATTCATATGGGTTTTTGCTTACTCTTTGTGTGTCCCGGCACTTTGTCATAAATTCTTAAATGTATTTTGTGCATTAGCTAAATGGATGTCGCATGTATTGCCCTAGTTAGATTGAAGAAGTATTACCCTAAACCCTCCAGATCCTGATCTGATCTAGAAAGAGTATAAAACCATTTCTGTTCTGATGAATGGGTTTAAATTTAAACATGCACAAAACACAACAATAGGCATTCACTGGATATAATGGGGAATTGAATGCTTACATTGAAGACATTGTGCAATTATTATCCTGCTGTTCCCTCCTATAATACCACTTGGGTGTCTTTGATGCAGTATTGTTCTGATACTTAGAAAAGAAGTAGAATTAAGGCTACTGATGATCAAATAAAAATGACATGTGTAACATGTTGACAGGCTGCCTCTCTTGTAAGAAAACACTTTATTTAAAGGGATACTCCACCCAAAAATGAAAAGTCTCTCATCAATTACTCACCCTTATGCTGTCTCAGATGTTCATGAATTTCTTTCTTCACATGAACACAAGTACACAGTCCCTATAACTGGTTGATTACATCTACTTTATTATAATTGATTCATAACCCTACCGTTTTACCTCCTCAGGTACGTTAAGACCAGTGCGACGGAGTTTCTATGACCCCACCTCAGCACCAGGCCAAGGTTGGATATGGGAGTGGGAAAATGACGCAGGTTCCTGGACGACCTATGACATGGAGGTGATCATTGCCTTGCAAGCAGCATGGGACCGACAGCAACCCTGGCTGGATCTGACATCGATGGGCTTTTGTTACTTTGTGGACTTCCAGACCATGACCCAGATTAACAGGCAAACACAGCAGCAGCGGCGCATCCAGAGACACTCAGACATGGTTTACCCACTAGTCTCTGGGCCACTGTCTAAAACCTCACAGGCTTGGGGTACAGGCTCAGGGTCTGGAGGCATTGCTAAAGGACTTACATCAGGTGGGGGCTCAAACGGGGCACTTCTTGGGGTAGGTGTTTCTGGATCTACCTTGAGTAGAAAAGGAAGTGCGGTTTACCCAAGCGGGACACTTTCGGTATCATCTCTCGCTCCTTCTGGACAGCCATGCACCTGCCAGCAGTGCATGCTGGTGTTGAGTGTAAAGGCAAATGGCACCTCATCACAGACACTGGGACGTGCAACAAAGCCAAACAGTCCTAAATCCAACTTTGGGACACTTACATCCACCTCTGCGTCCATGTCTGTTTTAAACTCCTATTCTCATACACTACCACATGGCACATCTTTAAAATGCTCGCTCTCGGAAGAAGCCAAGAATTCTGCTACTTTTGATCAGTCATTGTCTCTTCTCACATCGGGCACTGCCAATCTCTCAGTCTCCTCCAGCCGCCCACCGCCTCCAACTCTGCCATCGCCGAATCAGCATCCTTCATCCGCCCCAAGCTCTTCGTCTTCTGCAACATTTGTTCCAACTGCCATGCTTATTAACACATCAACCAGTCGCTCATCATCCACAGATTTGACGTCATCTTCAACATCGTTGCCTTCTCAACGCTCTGCTGCCTGTGCTGCCCCTCTGCCATCTCGTGCCAGTCTGACAGGGCTTAGTCGGCCTGCTTTGCAGAGAATTGCCATGGCACAGTCACGGGCCCTTATTGCCTCTGGGTGAGAAAAGCCATTTTACCTTTCTCTTTCAGTTTCCCCCAGTACACATTATAGTTTATTTCATTATGCTATGATTTAAATTTATAATATACAATATCGTTAAAAAGGTTAGGGTCAGTACAATTTATTTATTTTTTTTTGGAAGAAATTAATACTTTTATTAAGCAAGAATGGATTAAACTGATCAAAAGTGACAAAAAAAGACATTTATAAAATTACAGAAGATTTTAGTTTCAAATAAATGCTCTACTGAAAAAAAAAAAATCTTGAAAAATCATGGTTTCCAAAAGAAATGTCATCATACATCAAATCACATCAAATCAGCATATCAGAATGATTTCTTGAAGGGTCATGTGATGCTGAAGACTGGAGTATTGATGCTGAAAATTCAGCTTTACCTGACAGAAATAAATTACATTTTAAAATATATTTAAATACAATTTCATATAACTTTTCTAATAATATTTCACAATATTTCTGTTTTTACTGTATTCTTTCAAAACATAAAAAAAAACAAAAAACTTTCCGACCTCAAACTTTTTAACAGTAGTGTATAGGGATGCACCGAATGTTCGGCAACCGAAATTATTCGGCCGAAAATAGCAAAAAAAAGCTCTTTTGGCGTTCGGCCGAACAAGCGAAAAGATCGAATAAATTGTACCGAACAATGATATGACGCGATCAAATAGCAACCAGCGCAGAGTGAGAGGCGCGCACTCTTTATTATACAGCACACACGTCAGCAGTGTGGAAGCTTTTAGACCAGGGCAGTGTGGAAGCATTTAAACTGTTGGAGAAAGACGCAAAAATCATTACAAGCACCGACAGCGAGAGACTGTTTAGTACTGCATCGCATGTATTCAATGAGAAGAGGAAGGAATGATTGTTGCTGGTTACTGTATGATGATTGAAATCGCGAAATGGCCCTAAACACTAAAAACTGCAGAACGTTATGTTTTCTAATACAGGCGCGGATTGCATGTGACAGCGCTGCACGAACTCGCAGCAGATCTGCTTTTTAACCAGGGTTCAAAGTCCAAAGCGCGAGGAAAATCTGCGCTGATACAGTCGCCAGTTGCTCAGTCACATTTTTATGAATTTTAACAAGGCATGTGACAATGCGATACGTACGACGTATTCGTAATGAGACTCATTTATAAATCTGTTGTCAACAAAAATAAAAAAAGCAAGAACTCTTATCAACATTCATAAATGTTAGTATTGTAATTCTACTGTTGTTCTGTAAAATAAAATAAAAAGTAAGACAATAATAATGATAATAATCATTACAACAGTTATTATTTTACTAACTTATTAATTTTAAGTTAAATTGTGCTTTGTTGGTATAATGTCTGCTAGAATGTTAAAAGTGTTCAGTGTTAAATATTTTTAAATTGTTGTTTTGTAATTTTTTTGTCTTTGAAAAACAAGACAAAACAGTAAAAAGCACATTTTGACTTTTTAATTTATGCAATGGTGAAAAAAAAAAATTGGCAAAATACATGGGGAAAAAAACTCCGTGTTCAGTATTCGGCCTTCGGCCCTGTGTTTAATTTTGTTCGGTTTCGGCTTCGGCCAAGAATTTTCATTTCGGTGCATCCCTAGTAGTGTATATTTATATTATTATAAGGTCCTACAATAATAATGTTGTTTGCATATAATATTATGTATTATTTGGATATTTATGCCACACTCAATGTGATGTATGAATGTCACTGCATTAGATAACAAAATATAAAATGTTGTCTTATTTAAAAGAAAGATACACAGTTTAATAAAAATTATTGCTAATAAAACAATAAATAAACTGTTCATAATTAACAAATTTAGCACTTTCCGGATGCTATCGACATGTTCTACTGACAACCAGACAATGGCCAAAGAATATTAACCTGTGGTTACTCTGCTTGGAAACCTTTGTGAACTTCAGGAAACAGACTTTGCTGACTAAAATGACCAGTATATATATATATAGTATAGTGTTAATAGGTGTGAGTTCAGCTCATGTATTAGTGTGTTCTTGTATTTTACCCCTCCTCTGTGTGGGAGTGTGTTTCTCACACTGCTAAATCATCCATGTCTGCTCTGTTTGATGACCATCTGGAGAAAGAATGGTCTTATTCGTTCCCTCCCCACCCCCTTTATGTCTATAGCTGTTTCTCTGGCTTTTCCCGCAGCTCTCAGTCGTGATTTCATGTTCACGCTGGGTTTCTGCAGCAACCTTTGTTGACAAGACATGGGCTGGTCTGCATTAGCAACACAATGCTCTCTCACTGAAGCATTTGACATAGTAGCGTGTGTGTGCATGTCTACGTTTGGAAGGATTTGGGGTGACGAGCAAAAGGTTTCGACGTTGACTGTTGTAACGATTGTGTCCCAGTGTTTCCTGAAGCATTAGTAGACATGACATTTGGTGATAGGGGTTTAGGATGAAGCTTGAGTGGATTTCAGTAGTTTGAGAATAAACTGTGTGTAAATACAGCCAGGAACAGATTTGAGGTATTTTGACTCTTTTGTGGCTAATTATGATGTTACATGCTAAAGACAGCTGGACGATATATTATTAAAAATTGTACCACGGCTAGATTATAAATCAAATACAAATTAAATCATCGAACACAGGTGTTACATACATGTGTGAGAACATGGTGTGAGTCTGGTGCTCTTTCTAATGGTACGTTCTGTTTAAGACGTAAAGCCATCTGGAGGCATAGAGCAGCAGTTGTTGAGCATGTGTTTGAGAGAAAACAAAGCAACAATTCTGTTGTAAAGGCAGGATCAAGGGTCAGTGAAGGTCAAAAGCTTCCCCATTGGCCTTACCCAAACAGTCATCTACCCTCCAATGTCAGGCACTTATGTTATTTCAATGGAAAACAAAACAGGCATATAAATAACAACTACTGCTGCAGTGTTTATGATTGGCTAAAATGGTTTTAGCCAATTATAATCTGTTAGCTAATCTGTCATCATTTTGAACAAACATGCAACAAGTCCTTCCTTTACCACTTAACCACTTCAGCATATTTGGTTCAGTTTTCACTTTCGTGTGAATAAAATCGTGCTGCAAACAGAACTTCTATTCAAGAGGGAAAAAAAGTGTGGCAGTTAACAAATTAATTTATCAGTGTCAAAAACCTTTCCTTTTTCATTCGTAGTGCCATTTTTCATAAATATTACTGTGAAGTTGTTGATTTCAGATTCACCTGTCCCTAATCGTCACATCACAGCTCATTTTTTTTCTATGTCATCTGACATAGTATCCTTTGTTGGTATCAGCAAAGTATTGTTATTTGAGTTTCGGAAGGATGGGAGCATGACAATGAGCAAATGTAACCATAAACGGAGGCATTGCTATTTAGGTCAGCTATGCACCCGTTGACAATAAAATGTCAGAAAATGTCTAAATAGACTGTTACACTTGAAATGTAGCATTTCAGATGTAATTCCAAATCATGCATTTTGCATTTTTATGCAAAGACAAAATAAGAATTTTGTGTAGAATATGCTTTAGCTAAAGTTTCTCCCTGATTTCTTTTAAATTGATGACTGGTCATTGTAAAGTCAAAGTGAAATATGATTCATCGCCTGCCTGATGACTTAGTAGTGAACCATTGACTGTTAATCTCAAAATATTTGATGTTTTCTGACAGCAGACTTTTAAAGCGTGTCTGTGTGCATTTGAAAGTGTATTAACAGCTTCTACATTCATGCACATTTTTCTAAATGTATTTATGTACAGCCATAGCTTTTTTAAGACTAGCAACTAACAGACTGCAGTAAAAGGAGATAAGAAAATAAGTGTGAGAAAACACGGCATAAAAGACCATTGAGTGTGTAAAGAGGGAAGTAAAAGGGCTGTACATTAGAGTTGCTTTTTTTTTGACAACAAAACGTGCTGTGAGATGCGTTTGGTATTTTGTTCCTCATTTTTCACACTGATTTGACCAAAAATTTGCTTATATAATAGTAAATAGTCATTTGATACTTAGCCGAAGTGTCAAAATGCACTTTCAGTTAAGTATCATATAACTGTTGATGTTGGAGGCAGAACAATGCTTTATGTGCACGTTAGTCGTTGAACAAGAACTGCATGTTGTACCCTAGAAATTCAATAGGTTGCTGGGAAAATTCTTGGTAATGAAGAAATTGGTAGAATATCTGTGTCCTAGTTTTACACAGCATTATCATGATATCTATAGAAATTTTGAATTTCAAATAAAAGTCAGTCATCTTTAACTTTATTTTATGTTTTCTCTTGTACGGCCAATGAAATACACTCAAAATATGAGTGTGTGGAAGGTTTCTTTTTGTTTTATGCAGGGTAGCAACCAATAAGGCAATACTGCCACCTACTGTGTTGGGAGTGTCAACCAGATACCAGTTACTTGCGCTGTATATTATCAAATGTGTAGCGTTAACACAATATCAGTATTTTATATTTGAAATATCACAGTATATTGCAACACCCCTACACTAAAAAAAATCTTCAGTTTCAAGAGGGAAAGATATTGCAGTTTTGAAGTTTTTAGTTTCAGATCTGTCGCTTTGGTGAGAGTTGCATTTTAGCAATATAGGAGAACATTAAGTAAGACAGCAATCAGTGTGTCCATTGGCCTTATAGAGCTTCTTTTTTTCTCTCTCTCTCTTAGGGTACCGACAGTACCAGTGAAGAATCTTAATGACTCCAGCACTGTCCATCCGGCTTTAGCTGGTAGGAAAATAAGACACATTCCTTATACATTTTCAGAAATGAAAAGCTGGCTGTACATAACTTAATTCTAGTTTATACATTCTAATCTATTAAAACGTACGCATTATGATGCTTTGCAGGTATTACGGGTATTCTGATGAGTGCAGCAGGACTACCAGTATGTTTGACCCGTCCACCAAAACTAGTTCTGCATCCCCCACCTGTCAACAAGAGTGACATAAGACCAATTCCTGGCATTGGGAAGTGTTGCCGCAAGACCACCAAGAAACAAGCACGCAAAGGTAAGAATGCATGGGTATTTGTACGTATAGACAAATTCACAGATAAACACGCTGTACTGCAGTGTTGCTTCATGATTTTGTTTCTGAAAGCTGCTACTGCAGAAGCGATGACCAAAGTCCTTAAGTAAGTTTGCACTTTATCAATTCATGCCACAGTACACTATAGTGGCAAAAGAAGTCTTGCTTGGTATAACAGATTTATACTTGAGGAAACCACTGAAACATAAATGCAGCAGCCACCAATCTCTACCAGCTGTCGCCATCGATTGCCATTCAGCAGATTTATATACACACCAAATGAAATTTGAAATCTCTACATACTAAACATAAGTGATTTGTTTTCCAGGTAGAACACCTGAGGAAGTGGTAAAAAGGTACTTGCAGAAGGTCAGGAATCCGCCAGAAGAAGTAAGACATCGTTGTTACTTTGTTTCCTTTAATCGTTATGTAATCTAAACCTGGCAGCAAATCTGAGCTGGCAGTAAAGTGTACACAGGCCAAGTAGCATTGTAGACCTGTATTAACGAATCCTCCTGGAAAACATGAAGAGACATGAAAAGTTGGTGTCTTTTTCAAAGGCACATTAGTTTATTTTAGAAAGAACGTATTTTTCGTTCTATGTTTCTCTCAAGTTGTAAAAAATAAACATGAAATTCTGCACGTACATGCACATATAAATGCATATAGTAAGATGTAACTAACCATGTAATTGTGCCTAGTTAAAGGGGTCATATGATGCAATTTCTATTTTTCCTTTTCTTTAGTGTGTTAAGTAGCTATTTGTTCGGGTATAAGATCTGCAGAGTTACAAAGCTCAAAGTCTCCCACAAAAGGATTTATTCTATCTAAAAGAGAAGGCTGATCCAGACCGGGCTAAAACGCCTCATTCAAACACGCCCCCACATCTCTACGTCACGATGTGGAAATATTTGCGTAATGCTGCCCAAATGTTCATGCAAAGAAAGAAGGTGTGGTTTCAGGAACCGCAGTAGTGTTGATGCAGCCATGTCAGGGAGACGCTGTGTTTCTGTGTGAAAGCAAAAGCACTTTATTTGGCCTTCCGAAAGTAGATGCAATGAGGAATCATTGGTTAAGATTTATTTACAACAGAACAGCACAACCCAGATGTGTGAGAATTTGTGCAACGCATTTTATGGACGACAGTTTTGTGAACCTAGGAGAGTAGCCTACAAGGCTGGCTGTGCAAGGCTATTTCTAAAAAAGAAATGGGTCAATTCCGACTTTGCTATGACAATCTGGCGCTTATTCTGAATCAGCTACTGTAAGTATGTTTTCTTAATAGTTTAAGTATTTGCTATTGACTGTTCAAATGCAGAGTTTTGCGCCGTGTAGAGTATCACGTTGTGTGTGTGTGAGAGAGACAGGGTCACATCACAGTGGAGTCAGCTTTCTTAATCGTGGCTTGTGTACCGCAAATACATACCAGCATCACCACTGTGTCTGTCACGTGACTCTGTTCCCCTTTCGGGCTTGAACTGATGGTAAAACTAAGCACATTATGGACCGTCTTTACATTTATGTTGAAAGCTGAATCTCGCGATTATAGAAAGGGGCGTTACTTAGAGGTCTGCTACCCGACCCAGAGCACGACGGGTCCCGAAATACTTTCGGGTTTCGGGTCAGGTTCGGGTTAATGTTTAATGAATAGCTTCGGGTTCGGGTCGGGCTCGGGTTTATAGCTAAACTAAATAATGATCTTTAAAATAGCATCATGTGACCCCTTTAAGACTGTAAAAATAAGTGCTTTTTTTAATTAAGGATTTTACGGTGCAATATATTTCTACAGTATTTTGGTGCAAATTAATTTGTCATTGTCTTGGCAATTTTCCATTTCAATGAAGTCTTTTGAAAGTTTATTTTCTTGCTAGAAAAGGTGACAGTCATACAGTCCTGGCTGCAGAGTGTGACCAGGAGAAATATGTTGACTCAGCATTTATACCCTAATCAAATCCGGATGCTTCTGTTTCATCCAATCATAACACATTTTTAATGCGAGCATGTAGGAACTTTAAGTGAAGTGACATGTGGCCAAGTATGGTGACCCATACTCGGAATTAGTGCTCTGCATTTATCCCATCCAA